CTGTGGGGTTTGTTTGTTTTAGTGAAGTGGTAGGTGTGCTTTCTCATGGTTCTAACTAACTCTGAGACACGAGGCAGTTTGTGCATGCAGTCACTTAGGGATACAGTTTGAATTCCTGTGTGCAAATGTGCCAGTTCTTGGGTGAGAAGAACGCTCCCTCTCCAGCCACGGCTCCACCATTTGGGCCCGTGTGGCTGCTTCCTTCCTGTGTCTACACTTGACCAGCTTGTGCTTTAAATCCATTGTGTTCTGAGCGCAGCAGAGGGGTCATGGACATCTGAGGTGGTTTTAAAAGTTTCTCTATAATTAAAGATGTCTTTTCTAATTCAGTCGTGTTTGCTCTTTTCCAGAATTTCTGTTCATGACCTGCCCCCCCCATGCCCTGCCCTGTTTATCTAATCACTGGTACTATCACTTTGTTCAGTATGCATTGTCTTAGCGTTAACTTAAAATCTACATACAAAATGGCAAAGTATTGCATATGTGAAGAATGTGGTAAATAAATATATTTGGAAAAAGCCTAGTCTCTGTTGTTTTTAAAAGTAATCAAGTTTATTCAGTATCTACATATTTCATAATTACAGATTTTTTCACTTTTAATTTTTAAAAGATTTAATTTGAGAGCAAGAGAGAGAGAGAGAGCACTAGCAGGGTGAGGGGCATAGGGAGAAGCAGACTCCCCACTGAGCAGGGAGCCTGATGTGGGGCTCATTCCTATCATGACCTGAGCCAAAGGCAGATGCCTAACCAACTGAGCCACCCAGGAGCCCCAGATGTTTTTCATCTTAATGTCAGGCAGCTTTATGTGCTGAGTATAGCCAAAGAGAAGGCAAATAACTTTCTTATCCAGAATGATGGAGGGGGAGCCATGTTAAAGATTACAAATTAATAAGTGATAGAGCCCAGTTGTGACACTGACACTTTGAGCCTCCTCTCTTTATTGTGGTCATTATTTGTTGTTTGATTCCTTTTGCAGTTGGCCTCTTAAAACATGTGAATGGCTATTTCTCAAAATGTACCCACCTCCTCCCCCTAAATGGGTAGATATGGACTTAGTCTTCTAATGAGAGGTGGCAAATCTGTTGGTTGAAAAGTGTGCTTTTTCAGACAAGACTTGGGGAAACTGATTTTGAAGCAAGATTCATTGCTTTCCTTCCTCCAAAGAATCTCCTCGTAATAGGAACCCATTATGAGTAGGATTTGACATCACAACATTCTTTCCATAGAAGCATCATCATACTAACAGCTAAGAAGTCCTCTAATCTTCCATGCTCTGGCTCTAGCCACCTGCCTCTGCAGGGCCAGAGGAGTGGGAAGGGGGAAGTCCCTTCAGAAATTAGATGGGCCCCTTCCTGTTTCTTGGACCAAGTGAGTATTCTTTGGCACCAGGGGCAAAAGCATGGTGTGGAAGTTTTCCTTGAATTTACTGAAGTTGAGGGTCCTGACCTTTTAGGCTCAGCTTGCATCTGGACTCCAATGAACGAAGGTCACTGGAATACCGGTTTGTAACTATACCATGAGAAATCACACAGGTTGGTAAATATACCATGAGAAATCAGGTTGGCATGGTTGCTGACTGAATTTGCTCCGTAGAAGCCTAATTTATGGTATGATGAGAAAGATGAATTTCTTCTAGATTGCATCAACACCACGTTCCAGATACTGTGCTGTGCACTGAAGATATGCTTGTGAACAAAAACCAAAAGCATATTTCTTCCTGTCGGCACACCTATGTGGAATCGGAAGGTACTTAGTAATGACATAACTGAGACAAGCTGAGGCATCATTTCGGTTTTAGGAATGTCCTGTGGAAGCAACACTAGAAGTTACTCTTCCCCTGAGAGGCACTTGGCTCGGCAGTGCCTAGATTTCTTTCTCAGTGTCTCCTTCACAACACTTACTTGATACCTTCAATCTTTAGCTACACTAAGTACAATTACTGGTCTTTTCCCCAGTCAGACTCCTTCAGGAAGCTATGCATGCTATTTGTAAGTGCCCACAAATGAGTGTGTAATCCCTGCCCACACACTTAGAAACTGAATCGGTAAGGGGCGCCTGGGTTGCTCAGTTACTTAAGCATCCCTGATTTTGGCTCAGGGCCATGAGATCGAGCCCCACCTAGGGCTCTGCGCTGAGCTTGGATCCTGCTTAAGATTCTCTGCCTCTGCCCCTCTCCCTGCTTGTTGTCCCTCTCAAAAAAAAAAAAAAAATGAATTGTTAAAAGGTTGGTGCAAACACGCTCCTACTGTTTGTTTTTTTCCCCAGCTCAGGGCATGTTTGGTGATCACAATAACTGAATCTCTTCTGAGATTCCACTTGAAGCCAGAGGACCCTACTGCTGAGTTGGGTATTTGTTAAGCTGCCAAAGAATTTAGTCAATGCCAATAAGCGCAGTTAGCCCTGTTTATTATAACTATGGCTGACATTTTTACTATCATGATGTGTTCCATTTAGGAAAATTATTACCTGCTCATCTTGGATTTTGCTGTGATATTTTCCATCAAAGACTTCAATAATACTTTACCTCTCTCCACTTTAGGGTTCCCTTGCTATCAATCAAAATTATGAGAGGGGCGCCTGGGTGGCTCAGTTCAGTTAAGTGGCTGCCTTCGCCTCAGGTCATGATCCCGGGGTCCTGGGATCGAGGCCTGCTTCGGGCTCCTTGCTCAGCAGGGAGCCTGCTTCTCCCCTGCCTGTTGTTCCCCCTGCTTGTGCTTGCTCTCTGTCTCTTTCGCTGTCTGTATCAAATAAATAAAATCTTTAAAAACAAAACAAAACAAAACAAAATTACGAGGAGTTTCCCAAGAGTAGCAACTGTATTCTTCAATAGCTATGGTCTTAGTGTAATATTCTTAAGTGTTCATCTGTCTTTGGGCATTTACTTCATATACTTCTACAACTTTAACGCAGACCTTTACTCAGGAAACAGTATGTGTAATCACACCATTGCACAGGATAGAAAATGAGAAGTAACCTTTGATGTCTTTTTCTTCATACCACAGATCCAATCACTTACCAAATTCTATAGATTTTACTTTCTATGTGTCTCTTAAATCTGTTCACTTGTCTTCATCTCTTCTATCAGTCCCCTACATACTATTTTTAAACTAGGTTAAGAATATGAAAGATCAGTTACCTTGTTCTTCCAGTACCCAAAGGCTTAATAAACTATAAGCTGAACGCTGGAATTTTAGGATCTCTGAAGTTCAGTCTTCTGGTTATGGTTCCAAACTAGAATGTAGAGTCACACCACCATTGAGGAAGGCAGAAGGCAAATAAACTGGAGGAAAGTTACCTTCCACCTACTTGTGCATTGCTTTTGCCTTTCACCTGTTTGATCATTGCCAGTCCTCAGAGGGAACTACATGTGTGCTATGTGAGTGTTGTCTCTGTAGATTCTTGGAAAATCTAGAAAAAAATTAGAGTGATGGTATAGGGCTAAAGGCTAGAATGCTCAGCTAGCCAGGGTGTTTGACTAGGAGAATTAGAATGGGCCATAGAGACTGTGTGTGTGTGTGTGTGTTTACAGAGAGCATGAGGGGGAAGGGGAGGGACAGGGAGCAAATCTTCA